CTCCCAGTGTCAAATCTAATTTAAATAATGCTACTTTTACAAAACATTTGAAAACTTGGCTAAACCTTAAATGCATATCCAAATAGTGGCTAGCCCATGCAATAAACCGTTTAAGTAGCCCTAGGTTTAGGCAACTTCAACATTTTTTGTGTTACCGTCCATCAAATGCTAATTGTTGTAGTAGTTTTTAAGACCATCTCCAAACTCAACACTAATTTTGACACCAAACGTTAATTTAGCCTAAAAAATGGTATTTTGGTGCTCCAACCCAACATCATTTCTTGCACTATTTTGATGTGTGAATAGTATTACACCAAATTTGGTGTAGCACTATTCATCAACACCATTACTTTATATCATTATTTTATTATTATCTTTTATTACATAATATTTTTAATTTAACATATTATAAATTTTTTAATTACTTGTAGTTTTTATGCAATATCTTTATTGTATTAATTTTATATTTTAATTTTGGTGTATAATTTTCGTAAATTTTATTTTTATATAAAATTGTAAGTTAATTTTGTTATAAGTTGTAATTGTATAAAAATATATAACCATCAAAAAAATAAAATGTGCAAATCTGAAATATAATATGTTTTTAATAAATAACACAATATTAATTGATTATCATAAAAATAAATATTTAATATAGTAGTGTCTGGTATAGATTAAAATTGAAAATACATTAAATAACATAATGAGATTAGAAAATTACAACAATAATCTAGTACTCTGGAAAGCCGCTTCCAGATCCACAAATATCATTAAAATATTAAGTATATAGGGCAGAGGATTGTTGTAGTTGTGACTGTTGAAATTGTTTACTTCTTTTATCCATTATTCGTTTTTGTTCTTGTCGAATAAATTCATGAATATTTGGATCATCAATAGAATCTAATTTCGACAATAATTTTTTTTTAAAATTCTTTTAGTTTCAGAACTCTATTTTTTATAAAAGAAAAAAGAAAGAATTTGTTTTATAAAGAAAGTAATATAATATAGAAGAAAGAGAAGAATATAAAAGGAATATTCTTTTTTGACGTAAAAAATAATGCAATGGATTGGAGTTAATTTGCACCATTTTGGTATAAAAAAATAGTGCAAGGGTTGGAGATGCCTTTAAGTAGGAGACTTGATTTTGTAGTCCGTTATAAATGTAGTTTAGTTATACTAGTTTCTCCTCACGTGTGATTGCACGTGTATGTTAAGTCATGTAATATACATCTGTGTAAAATATTATCAATTTTATTAAAGTGAAGTTTCTGAATAAATAATTATACATGAAATAATAAAGCTTAAGTGACTGACTAATAAGGATCATTATAGTCAGTTAATCCTACCAAGATAAACAAGCAAAGTACAATTAAATACACATGAACTAAGATAAGCATCACAATTAGACAACGATTGTATATTACTCCCATTAACGCATTCATAGAGAGATGACTCTACATATATAATTAGTATAAATGTTGTAAGAAATATTTCCCAAAAAATGAAGTTCCTAATTGAACTTATAAGACTATGGTAATAAATAGTTATGTACTTAAGCTACGTCTACACCTCATATAAATTGGATCGTATTATCATTTGCTTCTAAATGACATAAACGGGCTCAAGAACATAAACTCTATGAAAAATATTCCCTCAATACATCAACAACAGTAGCATATTCATGGCTATGCGCTCTAATTTCTTTTCACTTCTTTAATTACCATTATCTTCTCCTCAATGCTTTTTTTTCTCATCGTTTATTAATTAGTTCTCTTCTTCTCCATTTTAGAGAAATAGGAAGCCTTCTCAACTATTTAATTGGTTCTTTTACCCCTTGGCAGCAAGTAGTAATAATGATCCTCAACGTGTTCACAAATTTAAGAATTCTTCCAAAAAATTTCGTCTTTCTCATGTAGTTAAATGAAATAGGAGAAAATCTTTCCTGATTTTTTCCCATTAAACTATGGCTGATTTCTTCTTCCTCTTCTTCAATGTGAAATATTTCTTTCAATAATGTGCAATTTGTCACGTAAGAATCATCTTTCTACCACATTAAACAAAATTTTAACCTCAAGTCCTCCTTCCCCATGAACACAAAAATAAACTTAGTTTTCTTGATTCAGAATTACCAAGACAACTACTTAAACCTGTAATGAAAAAAGGAATACGATAACTTCTAAAAAAAACCTTGAGAGATTAATATGTGTGAAGGTTAATAGATGAATTGCAAAAATGTATTCAGCAATATGCATATATAAGAAAAGAAGTTCATCTGAAGAAGTAAACAAAAAAAACTCAGTTGGATACTTGAAAATAGAATAAGTCATACATGGCAAATGACACGAACAAAGTTTAGGAATATGAAATAAAAAAGAGTTTATGTATGCCGTTGCCAAAGACAAATAATAAAGCTTAATGACTTGAGAATAAAAGAATCAGTCTATATATGAAAATAAATATGGTTCTAAAGTACTTTAAAATATGATTAGCATTATAAAGTTAGAACCACAAAAACTACTCAATTGAGATGCTTTACAAAGTGGTGTGTATCTAATTGTACAAAACTGAAGAGTCCAAGTTTTTGATATTTTAAGTTTTAACTCATCTCTATTGGCAATGCATAATACTAAAAGCAACTATATATCTTCTCCTAAAATAACTTTAAACTGTAAACCCTTCAAACGATATGGGTATTATATGGGGTTTAACATCGAAATAAACTATCTGATTCTCTTGCACTGCTCAGGTGCTATCGGTCAGTTTTATTTGGCTAATTCCTTAATGGTGGAGAATCACAACTTATACTCACATCAATTGGCTAAAAGTAACAAACAGACTTTATTATGCAGTTATGGTGTGTATTTCTTAAAAATGCAATAATATTTATTTTAGTTTATCAGAGAATATGTAATCTCCAGTTTCATCTCAATTATTAACATTCGTAAGTTGACGTTAATCGCACATATTGAATTGTTATTACTCACTTCATTTCAATTTGTGTTCTTACAAAATTTCTTTTGAAAAGTCACCTAATTCAACAAATATTTCCTCCATCGCATGTGTTGTACTTTTATCTAAATAAATACAGGGATAAAATTAATATAATATAGAAGAAAGAGAAGAATATAAAAGTAATATTCTTTTTTGATGTAAAAAATAATGCAATGGATTGTAGTTAATTTGCACCATTTTGGTATTTAAAAATAGTGCAAGGATTGGAGATACCTTTAAGTAGGAGACTTGATTTTGTAGTCCGTTATAAATGTATTTTAGTTAGATAACACTTTCCACACGAAAACTTTGTAACTTCATTGTTTGATTCAAATAGTAAGTGGATATAGAAGATCATTCCATACTCCCTCTATTTCAAAAAGATTGACACTATTTTCTTATAGTTTATTCAAAAAAGATTAACATTCTTCAATACTTCCTTCGATCCACAATATGTGATCAATTTGTTTTTTTATTTTAGTTCAAAATAAGTGTCCATTTATATAATAAAAAAAATTAATTTGTTTTTAAAAATTACTCTTATGTACATATCCCTAAAAAGTTTTCTTACTCACATTAAATATTTAATAAGGGTAGTTTAGTCATATTAGATATTTTTGTATAGAATTTAGTATTTTCTTAATGGGCGTGCCAAAAGCAAATTGGTCACTTATTATGGACCAGAAGGAGTATTTTCTTAATGGTAAGCATTTATAGCCAGACAAATATTATGACTCAGACCACAAGTTTCAAAAATTTTACAACCACATAAATATTATGATTTATTTAAGACTAGATATCTCAAAAGTATTTCCTTCTTTATTAGAGTATTTTTTTAACTTTGAAGTGTATTAAAATGGCCGGCGCGAGTGAAGCCGTAGTACGCGGTATAACCTAAAAACTATGGGCTATCACACAGTTTAAATTGAAGTAACAGAAACCTATTTATAGTCATGAATTATAGATGTCAGATGGTGTTCGACACCATTTCCTGAGGTTAAGGATTGTTGGTTTAGATATTTAAGTCCTCTCATCACATTGTGTACTGTTAGGAAAGTTTTCGTTGTACGAACAACTATGTCCCAGGCATCAGCATTAGAATTGATGCAAACAATGAGGCAATAACTTCATAGCCACTGAGTGGAGCAGTTTAATAGGCCTTCGGACAATATTGGGTTGAAGTTGAAAAAAAGAGTGTTAGTGTACGTTGGGCGCGTGCAAATAAAGTCTCACACCTATATACAAGGTATATGGATCTCTTAATAATTTGAGGTTTTTTATGAGAAAACTGTATAGGCTTGGCCCAAAGAGGATAAACTCACACTATGTTAAGATCATAATGTGGGTCGTTTTAGTCCAACAAATGGTATCAAAATCCAAGTTCGGGGGATGAGTATGGTGATAGCAGTGGAACGGTTTAGTCCAACAACTGATATTAGAGCCCAGGTTCAACGGGATGAATATGTTGATGGCAGGATGATGGTGCGGGGCTCAGTTTTCATACCCTTAGAGCTTGGATCGAGTATCTTTGAGTTGATTGAATCCAATAATTAAAACTTAAAGTCGAGAAAATGAATCTAGAAGTTGACATGAAGATGTGTTTGAACATAAATTTTAATTGAAAAAAAGAAGAAATTAAAGCTTTGTGAATCAACGCCCATTGTTTCACTCGAAATACTCTTCAAACAATTTTTTCAATATTTCACAAAATATTTCAAATATTGAAGTTCAGTAACTTCAGTATTAGCGCCACTTCATGCTGATGCACATGGCATTAAGGATAGTGCATTTTTAATTGAGTTATATATGACCAAAGCCATGTGAGTAGCCCAGAATATATGACCCATTGCCCATGACAACAGCTGACATAGGGTGGCAATACAAATGCAAACAACTACTATATAAATATAATCTTTCCAATACAAACTTCACCATAAATTTCAACTCGAAAACCAGTCTTTATCAGTCTAAATACATCAAACACCACTACATACATATCAAGAGAAACCATGGGATTTCGTTTATTACCAATGATTTCCAGTGCCAAGCAAATACACAAACTACAGTCTGTTTTAACAAGGAGTCATTCAGATGTTCCAAAAGGACATTTTGCAGTTTACGTGGGAGAGATAGAGAAGAAACGATACGTCGTGCCAATAACATACCTGAATCATCCTTCTTTCCAGAAGTTATTAAGGCAAGCAGAAGAAGAATTTGGCTTTCATCATTCAATGGGCGGTTTAACAATTCCGTGTAATGTGAAAGCCTTTGTTGATGTAACTTCTCAATTGAATAATTTAAGATATCAAGAAGTAGCATCCTAAAGTTAAGATTAGAGCTTAGAATTTCATTTTAGTTTGTTTTTTTTCCTCTTGTTAGGCAAGAGTTGTAAACTACTTATGTGCAAAGCCTTCAAGCAAAGCACAAAGGTGCAATCTTAACCATTTTTCGTTGGGGCTAAGTGCACAGATAGCCATTTTCAGGAATGCTATTTAGAGATTAGTCCGTACTTATTTTTGTTCTGAAGTTTTAAATCTAAAATATTAAGGATAATTCAGTACATTTTTTTCCCAAAAATTTAAACTGAAAAATTGAAATTCGGAACACACCGGCTAATTCTTAAATAACAGTCGTTTAGAGTGGTTATGTTGTGTCATTTCTACTTTTTGTTGTCCTTGAAAATGGATAGCCAAATTCTTTAACTATGGCCTGATCATATTATTCATAAATTCCTTTTGGGCTCTCCCTATGACCAATAGGTCGTAGGTTCGAGCTGTGGAATCAACCATTAATGTTGCATCAGGGTAGACTGCTTACACCACACCCTTTTGGGTCCTGCCCTTCCCCGAACCCTGCGTAAAACATGGGATGCTTTGTGCACCGGGATGCCCTCTTCTCGGAATCTCAAGGAAAATCAAAGTTTTTAGAAGCAAGAACATATATGACATAACAGTTACAGTTCTTTTTGCTACAAGGTTACGCAGCAAAAAGATACTAGAAGTTAATATATAGAACCACCAGTCTAAGCATTAATAGCTTGAACTTGCATTAAAGATAAATTAGTAATCCAAGAAACAAACATAGAAAAAATCACAGTTCATACTGAATAAAATTCAGTTCATTCAACACAGTAAAAGGTCCAGCATTCAAGAATTTTTAATCAGTATCAGCATCCAAGAATATAAAATCTAGTCATGATTTTGTTCTCAAATATATATAGTCCATTTCCTTTTTTTTTCTTTTTTTTTCTATTTAAAGAAACAGCAGGGTGTTGCAACAAGAGTAGACTAAATAAGAGTAAAGATTTTTGACTGAATCTGGCATTCCTACATTCACATCTTAGGTCAAAGTTAAGAAAATATTACAATATTTAACGACCACTTAGAAAAATTCCCTTAGAAATTTTCATGCCAACTGAAAGTCATGTTAAGATGTTTAGTCAAACTGCGGAAAATCTAGAATAATCTGTCAGTAGATAGAGAAAATAAGGGAAATAAAAGTATCTAAACTAACTCATCCATATACAGCAAATTAAGTTGGAAAAGAAATACTAAGTAATATTTAGCAAATTAAGAGATCACAAATCTGATGCTAGTTGTATCTCAAGACTAACTGAAGCAAATCTTATAGTATTACTTTTTTAGTACAAAGCAAATCATTTTACTAACTATTGTTCAAATCACATGTGGACGGTTAACAGAGATTAGGGCAGCATGGTGCACAAAGCATTTTGCATTCACGTAGGGTCTGGAGAAGGGACGCACCCCTGAGGTTGTGACCTTAATTGCAAGTATTAGTGACTGCTTCCATGACTCGAACCCGTAACCTATAGGTCACATGAAAATAACTTTACTCGTGATTTATAGGGGTGTGATCAATGATTGAATATTGGATGTATATAACAACCTGTACCAATTAGTACTCAGATAATTTAAGATGACCACAAGCTCACATGTAATTGTAGCTCTAAGACATGTGCTCTGAGAATAAAAGCAGAAAAATACATACCCAAATTGGTAGGGCAGATATGGAGTCATGATAAACAACTTATTATTGATTGTGACAAGAGGAAAAGAATCAATCTTGATTCAATCATTGAGGGCCAAAGGAGATAGTGAGTACTATTCCACAAAGCTTGAACTAGAAAATTGTGGGTGAGTGGAATTATTAAATAATCCGAGGGGCAGTTCTGACCATCTATCAGAGAAAAAAGAACTAATATTCCGGGTGAAAAAACATTAGACATTACATCTTCGGAAACCAATACTTTTGATGTTATTTTATATAGCCACACAAAAGCTTTTACGCTTTAAGGTTTTAATACCATAAGTTTCAAAACTAGTGTTTTTTTCCCTTGAACTCCGTGTCGAGTCAAATTATGTCAAATAAATTAAAACGGAGGAAATAGTTCTTCCAAAACATTTTGATTAACATCAAAGCCCCATGTTGAGAGTGACATAACAATGCTTATATAAAGCCCACATCATAAATGAGCTGCAACAGCTGCAGCAAGTACAATGAACTCTTATCATAAGCTGGGAAAAAGTAATACTTTCAATATTGAAGGACTATAACCCAAACAACAGAGGGCCCAGATATGCCTCATATAGAATAACAAAAAAACAATAAGCTATTAAGCAAATAAGTAACAATAAAAGAAATAACTGAGTGTGCATAGAAGTACACAGTTTGAGCTCAAAACTATGTGCTATTCCAGAAACGGATTGTTCCAAAAATTTGGTTGCATTTGGGATACTTACTAGTAACAGATTTGGTGTCACCTCCCACCAATCCTCTACACACGCGCGTGCACGCACACCTCAGCAAAATAGCAACTAAACTGGAAATTCCCTGTCAAGCATATTACTAAAGAGAGTGCGGAACCAAAATGTGGTTTATTTTTACTCAAAATACTCAAATAAGTGTAAAAAAAAAAGTTACCAAACTATATATAACGCCACTAATAGTGGCGTTATACTGACAAACCTTACATAGCGCCATTAATAGTGGCGCTATATGCCTTATTACCTGA